TGATAAGCGCATACCTGAACTCATTAATTCAAAATAAAGTAATTAGTTCACATATTAACAGTGGTGGAAAGAGTACTGAAAAATCATACTCTAGTAAAAGTACCATTACTTGCCTAAAAATGTAGTGCAAGTAGAGAAAGTATCTGTTGTAAATTTTACTCAAGTATGAGTAAAAAGTAGCTCTTTTAAAAGTACTCATGAGTAGTGAGTATTACGCTGTGAAAACCTGATGCTTTTACATGTAATTTGTGGATGTGTGTGTAAACGTAACATTCTGTAGTGCATGTAGTTATTGCCCAGCAGGCACACAACGTCAAAATTCAATGTCTGGCCAGCGTCTAAGGATAACAGTATTTTGATGTCTACTAACAACGTTAAATGGCGTTGATATTTGGTTGATTTTAGGTTGTGTTAGAAAGTGACCAAAATCATATTTCAAGTCAACATCTTAAACCAACATCCTACTGACGTCAAATACTGATATTGATTTTAGACGTCTTCTTTTAATGCTTCCTAACGGTTTGCTGCAACTATAAATTGCCCATATCTTGAAGTAGTTCATTATGATGATATTTACCTTCCTTGTGTGATTTGATTGGACAGGAATCACAGGACTGAATTTGTTAATCTCCATAGACAAGAAATAAAGTAGTGACTGCAGGTTGAAGGAAAGTAGTGGAGTAAAAGTACAGATACAGCACTTAAAATGTACTCAAATAAAAGTACACTTTTTTTTTTTTTAAACTACTCCGTAAATTACAAGTCCTGAAAAAAAGTAATTACAGTAATTTGAGTATTTGTAATTAGTTACTTTACACCACTGCATATTAAAACATAATTTTCACGTACTGTTATTGTAAAGTGTTACCAATATATCTACTAAAAGACAGAAAAATTACTTTACAAATTGTTTAGTAAATTAATCACATGAACTCTTTCTTTAAGTCAATATTATAGCTGAAATTATTTAAACTGAATAAATATGAATTAACACACATTTACATGAGTAAATACATTGATTGATTGGCTAAAAATCGACGGAAATTCCACGTAATTCTACCTATGTCTTGGACGGCCTAGAAACATACCTTCAGTGGCAGCAGAGTCCAGAGTGAGGTTGGTGAAGGCAGGCGCCAATCCAATCCACCAGTCCTGCGCCGGCTGTAGATGTTTCTGGAGAAACTGTTGGGTTTCATCGTTCAGAATGAAGGCCAGGTGCCCACCACCCCGCTCACACCAAGCCTGAGCACTGAGAAAACCACGACGCAACTCCACAAACTCATAGCAGGAGCTCTCAAACGCCTGCTGGTGCTGGGCACAGGACAGAACCTCCTCATCGTCACTTCTGATAGAGATGACATTAAAACTCAGTGTTAGGAACAGAATGCAGAGCGTGCGGTTGCACATTTCCGTCCTTAAACATGAACACAAACAGAAGCAGCTAAAATCCCTCTGTATTTAAAGGCTACTGATGTCCATAAACCAAAATGAGAGTGTGACGTCGTTGATAGACTTGTTCACTCAGCAACAATGGTTTGACAGCTATTGGTTGCGTTAACACAAATTGTACCCCTTAAGCTGCTGTGTAAATAAGGAACTATTGATGTCTGCATCCACAACCTGGGCAGAGGCAGATAAGACCAGTGACAATAGAGAAACAATACAGGCATCATCAATTACTTTAGTTTAATACCGCTTCACATTTCCTCTGTACAATCACTAAAGAGTCACATTGTCATAATTCTAGGGTCAGGACGGCATGGCGGCTTAACGGTAAGCTCTGTCACTACACAACAAGAAATTTTCTGGTTCGGGTCCTGTCTGGGCCAGTTTCTGTGTAGAGCAGGGGTGGCCAACCCTGTTCTCAGGAGAGCCACCTTCCTGCAGATTTCAGTTGCAACCCATATCAAACACACCTGAACCAATTAATTAGGACCTGAACACCACGTGATCATTACAGGCAGGTGTGTTTGATATGGTTAGTATGGTAGTAAACTACCAAGTGCACATTCGTACTTTAAAGATACAAATGTGGACCTGTACGGTACACTTTTGCACCTTTAAGATACTCAATATATTGTTTCAGCATCGATATTGCAATGTGTGTGTCCCCAACATTGGTGTAAAGAGTACTGAAAAATTCTACCCAAGTTAAAGTAACATTACTTGCCTAAAAATGTAGTGCGAGTAGAGTAAAAGTATCTGTTGTAAGTATTACTCAAAATATTAGTAAAAAGTAGACAATAGACATTTCAAAAGTAGTATTACGCTGTTAAAAGCTCTTACAAAGATCGTACCAGCTCAACAAAGATCTTACTTAGGATGTTATTAGATGAATAATTGTAATTAAATTATAATACTTCAGTGAATATTGTACTCTCCCCCCCCCATTTTAGTGTAATGCAATCCCTGTTACGATACACTCTCAGAAATAAAGGTACAAAAAGTGTCCATATTGGTATCTCAGAAGTAAATATTAGTACCTAAAAATTTTAAGAGGAACACTTTTGTACATTTTAGATACTAATATGTACCCTTGAGGTATTAATATGGAACATTTACAGTAACAATAGAGAAACAATACAGTGCAGGCAGCAGATCATCAATTATTTCAGTTAAATACAGCTTCACACTTTTATTTTCTCAATCAATAACAGTCTTTAGGAAATTTGAACTCTCATAACTCTACACTCTCAGAAATAAAGGTATACGCGAGCGGTCACTGGGGTGGTACCTTTTCAAAAGGTGCAAATTTATACCTGAAAGGTCCATATTAACACCTCAAGGGTACATATTATTACCCAAAAAGAATAAAAGTGTTCCTCTTAAATTTTTTTAGTGCTAATATATACTTTTGAGGTACCAATACCAAAAGTTACCACCCCAGTGACAGCTCGCGTACCATTTTAAGCACTGGCAAAAAGGAAATTGTTACAGAAACAACTATAACAGCAAGAAGACAAGAAAGGTGTACAGTACAGAGAATTACAACTGTCAAAACAGAAGCTTACAACTACTGTTTCCAGCCAGAGAGTCCCTCCTTTCCTTTGTCAACAGTTTAATAGAGGCCATTGAACACAAAACATCCACCCTGATAACGGTATTTATGTTGGCACTATATGTTGCCAAAAGCTGACAGCCATATATTGTGGGCCAAGTACATCAGATGCAAAGTAGGCTAAGCTGTCTCAGAAGAGTAAATGCTTTTCCTTCAGCTTTCTCTCTTATTTATCAGGGGTCGCCACAGTGGAATGAACCACCAGTTATTCCAGCTTATGTTTTATGCATCAGATGCCCTTTCAGCCGCAAACCAGTACTGGGTTTTATTCACACACACATACATGCACTACAGCAGAGGTTCCTAAAATTTTCAGCAGGCAACCCCCAAAATAACAATGCCAGTGACTCGCGACAGCCATCCTCTGAGGTGATTATAAATACAGAAACCTTGCATGCAATGGCACACACACACCAATAGACGCAAGTTTATTTATGGTTTATTATTATTTTTTTATGTATGTCAGTGATGTAAATGTGCCCGAAAGTTTAACCTGGTGTTATAACATCAATCTGCAGCATCTGAAACTATTGCTGCATATAATGTAATTACCCCAGGGGACGCAATCCAATAAAACTAGTAACTATAAGCTACTGTAGTAACTATATAGTATATGGTAACTATGAACAACTATTTTTTTTTCTTTTCAGTAGGTTATGGATAAAATATGGTAATTCTTATGGTTTAATAAAAATTAATAGATTTTTGTAAATCACCAGGCGACCACCCTTCATTGAACTGCCACCCCTCGGGGGTCCTGTCCCCCACTTTGAGAACCATTGCACTATGGGCAATTTTAGTTTATTCAATTCAAGTGTACCACATGTCTTTGGACTGTGGGGGAAACCAGAACACCCGGAGGAAACCCACGCAACCATGGGGAGAACTCCACACATAAATGCCAACAGCCGAGACCTGAACCAGCAACCTTAGTTGTGACGCGACTATATATCATGTACAAAATGTATAAGTATATATTAATAACTTGTAATTTAAAAAAAATTATTAAACAAAAAAATATGTATACAGATAAGGTAAAACCTAGTGGTTTTTAAAGATAGTGGCGAGGTACAAATAGCCTATTTAAAATAACATCAGGCTATCAGGCTACATTGTAATCCACCATAACCGTTTAACATGCCATCAAATGATTTTTGTATTAAATAAGCCTTTTCTGTATACTTTACACTGAATTACATTTTACTGTGTGTCTTCTGTAATTCATGGTCAAAGCTCGTCGTTATTAAAGTTATTTATGCAGCCTTTTTAATCTTTTAGCTAACAAAAACATACACTCAAAAAATTACACTTGTTTTGGTTAAACTACTAATTTAAAATGAGCTGAAACAACACAACACAATTCTTGATATTTGTTTGGACAACTTAATAAGTTAACTCATGTTATGCCAACACAAATCCATTGTGTGGAACCCAGCATTTTTTACAGTGTAATCATAATTACATGCCAATTTCAAATAACAATACTGCCTCACAAACTTAATCAAAACTTTTTTTTTCCCTTTTGACCGAGGTAAAAGTAGGCTACATAAATATTTGCTGTACAAGTTGTATTTATTTATTCGTCAGGTTGATTATGCAATTAACCTTCATGCATGACCCATTTGCTGATTATAGTTCTTTAATAGCAATAGTTATGCAACAATCAAAGCCATTTAAAAACACAGAGAAGAAGTCCTTCTTAAATTATCGTTGTTTTGTTATCGTAGATGATCTCTGCATTTCTTTTAATATTTGAAACAGAAAAAGCGAAAATAGTGTGTAAAAGTCGTGCAAAATAGCCTGCATGCAGTCCAATTTAGTACAACGGCTATCTGAAGCATAAAAGCGGTGATTTCAGCAGAATTATCAAATGTTGTGCAGATCACGAACTTCCTTGAACTTGACCTAATTTTCCCTTGCGTGTGCGAGGAGCTCTGCAGTTATATAATGATTCAAACGCGACCACGTTCACAGATAGTCAAGTGTATATTGCGTGTTTTATAGCCGTGTTTCAGTACAGTTATGTCATTGAGAACTCAGCTTCAGCTCAGCATGTTGTCTTTTTTCTGGAGAAACGGAATAGAGACACCAGAGCCCCTAAAGGCGGACGTGTCAGGTAAAGTTACTGCGGTTCATATTTTCATATAACGTTAACGTTGCTGTAGGAATTGCCGCGAACTAGCCTATAGCTAACTATAAGGTTACTCGTGTTTAAGTTTAGTGTGCGTTTAGGGATTCAAAGGTGTGAAAGAACTTTTACGACGGCTTTTAACGGAGCAGTCAAGCATGTTTGTCTGAATCCTGAAAGAGTCGTTGTTTTAGGAGTCGGATCTTTTTAGTGATTTGGTTGAATCGGTTCTCGAGTCATCTCACTGTCCAAAATAAAAGCCAAATTGCTAGAGGGCTGGATAAATATGTTTTTATAAGAAATGTTTGCAATCTTTGTTTAAGAAGCAGCATTTAAAAACGTTTTTACTGTTTTAATATTGTAGTCATTAGTTCATAGCAGCAGTTGTTGTTGATGTTTTATTGGTATTCGTTGTAGAAAAAGCTAGCCTAAGTAAGTTTACAAATTATTTTTTATAAGTCGATGTATGGTTGTGTGTCTACTTCAGTTTAGAATATAATATTTATCACATTTCTACCACATCTTCCAGAAGTAAAATTGTCATTCACACACCAACTATTCTGATAACTATGATAAATATTAAATGAGACACTTGGTAACAAACAAACAAACAAACAAACAAACAAACAAACAAACAAACAAACAAACAAACAAACAAACAAACAACCCTCCTGAATTTGTAAGCTGGTTGGCTGGTTTTATCTGGTCTTAGAGGGGTTTTGGGCCATTTCCAGGCTGGTTTCCAGCCATTTCCAGCCTAGGTCTTAGATAGTCAGGCTTGAAAGTGACCTGCTAGAACCATCTAAACCCAGCTTGACCAGCCTGGTGTAAGCTGGACATAGCTGGTTTTGGCTGAGCTCTCTGCCTGGCTAGGCCGGTCAAGCTGGATTTAACTTGTCATTTCTCAACCTGACCAGCTAAGACCAGGCTGGAAATGGCCAAAACACCTCTAAAACCAGGCTGGTTAACCAGCTAAAACCAGCCAACTAACCTCTGCTGGTTAAAGCAGTTTTTTTCAGCAGGGAAATTTATTTACTGTATGAAAATGTCCATTTTACAAGGATTTTTTTTGTCAATTATAGTTATCATAATTAATTATATTGAATAAGCAAAGGCTGCTTTAAAAAGTGTTGGAAACTGATTTGACATTTGAATTTGGATCAGAGGCTATTGGGTAAAATGTACATGCAAAATTAGTCTCTGAGGGTTTCAGAGACTTACATATAACTGGCACCATACCAAGACCCACAATTTCTCAACATGAACAAACAACAAAAAGTCATGAACTGATCAGGGCTGAAAAATATCACTGGTCTTATTGTTAGTTTGTTACGGTCTGTTTCTCAAAAGCATTATAAGTTAAAGGGGATGGTTCAAATGAAAATTCTGTCATCGTTTCAACAATGTCCTCTTGTCACAAACATTTTGAGTTTCTTTTCAAGGATAACATGCTGAAGAGTTCCCATAGTATTTTATGTTCCTATTGATGTCAGTGGCTGCAATGTTTAACATTCTTCGGAATATCTTGTTTTGTGTTTAACAGAAGAAAGAAATTCATAAAGTTTAGAACTGCTTGAGGGTGCATGGCAGGATAGAGTTATGAGGACATCTGCAGGACTATCAGCACATTGCACTTTTAACTTTATTCTAGTGCTGCCTAATTATTTTATAATATTAATTACAGCTTTTGTTTTGACTGTACTTTATAGTACACTTTTTAATTGTTGTTTAAATAAAGTTAAACATTATTAATTTAAAATGAGAAGAAAACAAACACAACAAGATCCACAATTTAAACAACTTAATTAAAAAATGAAAAAAGATGTTTGGAAATGTAGGAAAAATGTAGAAAATATGCTTGAAAGACTGTCAAATGTTTTACTTGAATTTTATTATCTGGGCTCTGGGAAGAAATTCATATTTGACACTACCTACAACAGACACACGTCCCTGTCCATATGGAGTGCCCACCACTCCTCCATAAGGTTATATTTCTGCATTTTGCATATGGACAGTGACTCTGTAGAAGGTAGAACACATTCTCACATTCATGTCATGTGCAATTCGGAGTAGCCTACACCTGAGGGTGCTGTTAGTTAGTTAGTTAAATAGATACTTTATTGATCTCAAAGGAAATTCAGTCATCTAATAGCATCTTATACATAAAATACGTAAAACACACACACAAAAAATAGGGGAATTACCAGCCTATGTCACACGGGTTCAACCGTGCATACCGGTTGCAAAATATGAACGGTTGCAATAGCAAACATGCCAAGTTGTGCAGTAAGATGCCAAATTTGAAAATAGAAAACTGACATTTTCCCATACACCACACTGCTTTTAATGCCAACTGCAGACGTCTTTTGGCCAGTATCCAGTATCCATCGGGAAGGTGCTATCCCAAATGGACCTGTCAGACGATCGCCGCTAATTTTAACATTAATTTTGCAGAATAACTGTTTATCACTGGGTGACAAGCTGTTATAATGCTCTGAAAGCATTATGTAAATAATATATATAATATGTAATCAATATAACTTATCTCTAAATCAACAACAAACTCTGTTCCGCATCAGATGTCATTCCCTCACTGTAAATGCTAGCGTTGCCGTTTTTTCTGCAACCTTGCTGCGCGCACATCCTGAATGTTTAAAACCGGTAATTCATCTATAGGCACATAAACACACACGCTTCAAATAGGAAGAACAAAACAAAGCAAAAACGTTTTCTTTAATTATTAATACTTCATAAATCAAGCCATGAAATAAGTAATATACCTAAAAACACAGTCCAAGCTATTGATCAGCATATATACAATACATATATAATACGATATAAGAATGCGTGTGTACTGTATGTGTGTGTTTGTGTGTAAACATTTGCTAACCCTCAAGTGATTTAATTTCTTTTTTTATTTTTGAACCAAAAAGAAGATTCATTTAAGACTGCTGGTAAGCACCATTGACTTTCAAAAAACGTTATGGAAGTCGATGGCCTCCCATATCCTACATTTTCCAAAATACCTTATTTAGTGTTCAGTAGAAGAATGAAACAGGTTTTGAACAAGTACAAGAAAAGTAAAAGATTATTTTTGAATAAATTCTCTCTCCAAGAGCTACATTGTTATGGGGAAACTTCATAACTCCAAAAGACCATTATTACATCATCCTCTCAAATGTTGTCATTTAGCATCTACAGTACTTGCCTCCCAGAATTGACATTCATCTCACAGATATATTGAAACATGTGATATGTGATAAATGCAAGGGCCTAATTAGAGTTCACACACTGAATGTTTTGCTTTAGGCTCTATCCCACCATGGCTTCAGGGGACACTTCTGCGCAATGGTCCTGGTCTGTTCTCAGTTGGCAACACTTCATACAAGCACTGGTTTGATGGAATGGCGCTCATTCACAGCTTCACATTTAAAGATGGTTAGTCCTTTAAACAAATTTATTAAAAGTATGCTGAACACGCAAGTGGATGCATCATAATCAATAAACTCATCTTATTCAGGGGAAGTTTTTTATCGAAGTAAATACTTGAAGAGTGAAACATACAAAAAGAACATCGCTGCCGACAGGATCGTTGTGTCTGAGTTTGGAACAATGGTGTACCCTGATCCCTGCAAGAATATATTCTCCAGGTAAATAAAAAAATGTTCTTTCCATCCCTTTTTACGTGCTTTTTAAGAATCAAATCTAAATTTCCTGGTTAATTTTTTTATATTGCTTTGCAGAGCCTTCAGTTACATGATGAACGCCATTCCAGATTTTACAGATAACAATCTAATTAACATCATAAAATACGGTGAAGATTATTATGCATCATCGGAGGTCAACTACATCAACCAAATTGACCCACTGACACTTGAAACGCTAGGACGAGTGAGTCAAGATCTGTTCATTCATTCATTCAGTCATTAATTTATTTTAAAACTCAGCATTGTTTGTCATTTATCATCATTTCAGACTAACTACAGAAACCACATTGCCATCAACTTGGCAACCGCTCACCCTCACTATGACGAGGAAGGGAACACATACAACATGGGCACAGCGATCATGAACCTCGGCAGACCCAAATATGTGATTTTCAAGGTGCCTGCCAATACCTCAGGTAACAAAGACAAGTATTTAATTCTGTAGCATGTTCAGCTAATTTTGTAATAGCAATATATAGGCACAAATGTCTTTTACAAAGCTAAGTGCAAGTGTCTTCCTTCCTAACATTCCCACTGGTCTGCAAAATTTTAATGTCATGCTATTTTTGTAATTCTTTAGTTTTGGTACCAAGTCTTAACCTGCCTATTATTAAGATATCGGCTGTTTTTTAAGGCTTATGAAGTACATATTCTGCATGATCTATATCTCTAATCCCTAAGCCCAAGATATATTCTATATTTGTAATCCCTAAGCCCAAGTGCTACCTTAATAACTATTTAAAAGTAACAAATTAGGAGTTTATTGTGCTAAAAGTCATACAACCCCTTATCCGAAAAAGTTGGGACAGTATGGAAAATGCTTATAAAAAAGAAAGTAGGGTTTTCTTAATTCACTTTGACTTGTATTTCATTGCAGACAGTACAACAAACATTATGTAATGTGTTCCACGTGATTTTTATTTATTTATTTATTTATTTATTTATTTATTTATTTATTTTTCAAAATAAACATGTATTCCAATTTTGGTTCTTGCAACACATTTCAAAAAAGTTGGAACAGTAAAGCATTTACCACTTTGTGATGTTGCCATTGCTTTTCACAAGACTTAAAAGACCTTTAGGGACTGAAGACACCAAGTGATGAAGTGTTTCAGGGGTAGTTTTGTCCCATTTTTCTGCAAACATGCCTTAAGGTGGGCAACATGTGGTTTTGCTTAGTCTTGTTGAAAAATGCCTCACCGTCCCTAGAAAATAAGACAGCATATTGTGCTCCAAAATCTTCACTTTTCAGCAATAATGTAATACCATCACAGAAGTGCAAGTTACTTTCGTACTAACAAAACCCCATACTATGACATACCTTGGCTTTTGGAATTGTTGCTGGTAGCAGTCTGGATGATCTTTTTCTTTTTTTGGTTCGAAGCACTTTGCATCCATTTTCTTCCAAAAATACATGAAATACTGATTCATCTGACCACAATACATGTTTCTGGACACTGTTAACATAGGGCTTCCTTTGGCACAGTACAGTTTTAACCGGCTACGTATTGTGGTACTTGACAAAGGTTTGCCAAAGTAGTCCTGAGTCCATGTGGTGATATTGCTTATACTGTAGATCAATGATGATTCTTGATGCAGTGCCACCTAAGGGATCTGAGATCATGGTAGATCATCTTAGGCTTGCACTTTCGCCCTTTACGCACTGAAATTCCTCCAGATTCGTTAAATCGTTTAATGATGTTATGCGCTGTTGAAGGTGAAATATCCAAAGGTCTTTCATTCTTTCTTTGAAGAACATTGTTTTTAAACATTTCAATAATTTTCTCATGGATTTATTGGCAAACTGACAATCCTCTGCCCATATTTGCTCCTAAAAGACTAGACCTTTCTTGGATGCTGCTTTTGTACAAAATCTTAATTACAATGACCTGTTGACATCACCTGTTTCAAATCATATAGCATTATATATAATATAATATTAATTAAAATATATTATAATATATATATAAAATATATTATATATTATATTATATATCATATATCATTTAACCGATTTACCTGATTACTAGCCCTAAATTGCTCCCGTCCCAACATTTTTTTCAAATGTGTTCAAGAACCAAAATTGGAATACATGAAGTTTATTCATAAACTAATTTCGAGAGGATCACGTGCTTATGATTTACCACGGCCGGTCCGGTATTTGCTAATCACTATCTTCCAATCATATGAGCCCTAAGCTACTATAAATAACCACAGTTTTCAGCTCATTTTATCTTTGTTTGGAAGAAACCCCCCTCCTCCCCTATTCTCCTCCTTTACCTCTGATTGGGCAGCACGGCGGCCCAGTGGTTAGCACTGTGAACCCACAGCAAGAACACTGCCAGCCCTGGTCCATTAGGGCCGGTGGGTGTTTCTGTGAGGAGTTTGTATGTTCTCCCCGTGTCCGCGTGGGTTTTCCCCGGGTTCTCCGGTTTCCTCCCACCATCCAAAGACAGTCAACACGTATAACAATCAAGCATTTGTCTAACCCATCTGTTTCCTTAGCTACCGCGGTCGGGGAATTCTGAGATCCACCGAGCTCAGGCTCCCCTCTCGCTCTGCCAACGGGAGGAAGCTCCGGGCTCGAGGATCCCTTGAGCTCGGGGCTCTCTCCCGGGACAGCATGCCAAACAAGCTTTTATAAATCATCAGCTAAGTGTGAACTCTTGAAATCTTTATTAAAAACTAAATCAATCAGTCAGTCAGTCAGTCCGTCCGTCCATATTTATAAAAAATATGTTATTGACCAAGTATGACCACTAATGTATTGTAGATAAGGAAAATAAGAAGCCAGCACTCAGCGAGGTGGAACAAGTTTGCTCCATTCCCATCCGCTCCTCCTTGTATCCGAGCTACTTCCACAGCTTTGGCATGACGGAGAACTACATCATCTTCGTAGAGCAGGCCTTCAAACTAGACATCGTCAAACTGGCTACAGCTTACTTCAGAGATATCAACTGGGGAAGCTGCCTAAAATTCGACCAAGATGACATTGTAAGCAAAACTTGGTCTTGTGGTTTCTAATATAGTACTTCATCTAAATGCCATCCAAACTATTATAACAAATGTTCTTTTTGATCACCATATAGAATGTGTTCCATCTGGTCAATAAGAAGACTGGGAAGGCAGTGAGCGTGAAGTACTACACGGACCCGTTTGTGACCTTCCACCACATCAATGCTTATGAGGACGATGGCCACGTCGTCTTTGATCTGATTACATACAAGGACAGTAAGCTGTATGATATGTTCTACATACAAAACATGAAGCAAGACGTCAAAAGGTTTATAGAGACCAACAAGGACTTCGCTCAACCAGTGTGCCAGCGGTTTGTCCTTCCCGTCAACGTAGATAAGGTAAAAACATATACAAATAAATACATGAAGAACGAATTGCATAAGGAGGCGTACAAAACAATGAAGCAATTATGGACTTAAACATTTAAGATTGCACAATATCTTGTTTATTCAGGTCTTGCCTAAAATGTAAGTTTTAAATATTTAGAGCAGGGGTGAGCCAGTTTCTGTGCTCAACAATCAGGTTGTCTTGGTCCTAACCTTCAACCATCACCTGTTCCACAATGCACTCCCTCATGCTGAGCCTGGCCGGGTTTCATGGGATAAAACCCATCCACCAGGTGCTTGCATACAAGCCCCAATGCCAGGCCTGGCTCTAGGGTGGGGCCCCAGCTGCTCCATACTGTGCGATGTCACGGTCCTCACTGTTATTGCGCTCATAAGAAGTTTTTAAATGCACTTATGGCCCGTTTTCACTGAGGGGTACGGTACGGTTCGGTTTGGTACGCTTTTATGGCCGTTTCCACTGTCAAAAGGCGTACCGAACCAAACCGTAACGTACCACTTTTTCGGGACCCTTTCGAAAGGGTCCCAAGCTGCAGAAAGTGTCCCAAAAGGTGGAGCTACACGCGCAGCTGAACGCTATTGGTTTACAGAGATACGTCATTCGTAGACGCAACAAGCCAGAATGTAAACAAAGGACCCGCCATGTTTGAAATACACAGCGAGAGATTACAGCGGAATTATATATACATATGCAGCCATGGTCGATCCTGCAAACAAACCCTGTCGTCGTCATGATAAACAGCCACAAAGCCATGGAGAAGAGCGGATTTACCCTGTGCCGCGTAGTTTTTTACGAGCCAGTCTGAAGCCCGAGTGGTTTCGCTTTCTTCCTTGCTTTCGCCGCGCGTCTCTATCTTAAATAACAAACTTCTTGAACTGATGATAATAACATGCACTTGATTATTGACAAACTTTTGGAAACCCGATCCTGTGAGAAACTGACAAACAAGAGTGACACATTCAGAAAGAAAAGGACAAACACGAGAGTGGGGCGTGGAAAAAAAGGCGAAGCCAAGGAGCACGTTATTTCTGCAGCAAACGTGAACAAACTGCCTTGTTTTATTTTAATCTTTATTATCACCTTTTGTACTAATATGAACTGGGAATGACTGAATGACTCTCTAACAGAGGCTTCATGTGCTGCTGAAGATTACAGACACAGATGAAAGGTTTACTCTGACTGTAGGCTATAACTACTTTGTGTTGTTTTGAACCTAAATAACGACGAAATGTCTGCTTTGTGTAGTTCTTCTGTAGTTGGTAACATATCGGAGACTGTAAGGGTCTGTATGTGTTCATATATGTTCATTTATTTATTTAATATAATTAAGACGTTACAGTAGGCTATTTTGCACCGTCATTGATCTGCAGTTATAAACAACTCCTGTTTATAGAAAAGTTTGTAATAAACATTTAAACACATGTATTTATGTGTGTAAAGCATCTGTTTTGTGAGAAGTGCTTTTCATATGATATGTGAACGACCTGTGCAGCTTTAATGTAGACATTTTCTCAAGCGAAAATGACGTCGACTGAAACTTTGTCATACACCACGCCCACCAAAAGGGTACCCTTGGGAGTGGAAACACAAGCCTGATAAAGGTGACCCGTACCGACCCGAACCGTACCGTACTGTACCAGTCAGTGGAAACGAGCCATTAGACTGACCTGTCCCCTAAAACCCTTTTGCCTTGGGAGACCCTACCAGGGGCATTAACCCTCGACTACATAGCTCTTAGGATCACTCAGGCACTTAAACCCCTCCACCACGATAAGGTGGAGGTTCATTGAGGAGTTAGGATGCAAGGGACGAAGGTTCGAATTCAAGCAACTGAAATGAGTTTGCTTTGCAGGGTGGCTGGGCGCACCCTTATAGAAAGGATGAGGAGCTCTGTCAGCTGGGAGTAGCTCGAAGTAGAGCCACTGCTCCTCCACATCGAGAGAAGTAAGCTGAGGTGGCTTGGGCATCTATTTCAGATGCCTCCTGGACGCCTACCTAGGGAAGTGTTCCAGGCTTGTCTCACCAGGAGGCAGACTCGGGGAAGACCCAGGACACTCTGGAGGGACTATGTCTTTGGGCTGGCCTGGGAACGCCTATGAGGAAAGGGAAGTCTGGGGTTCTGTCTTAAGACAGCTTAAACCATGATCCAGCCCCGGAAAAGCAGATGAAATGACCAGGGGTGTCAAACTCAGTTCCTAGAGGGAAAGCAGAAAGAGGGGCAGCTCTGCACAGTTTAAGTCCAACTGTAATTAAACACACTCAATCTTACTAATTGAGTCCTTCAAGCTTGTTTGGAACATGCAGGCAAGTGTGTTGAAGAAGGCTTGTAACTAAACTGTGTAGGGCTGCGGCTCTTCAGCAACTGAGTTTGACAACCCTGGTTTAGACCATCATGGACCGTAGTGTTTAGTAAAATTAAAGTATATAGGCAAATTCTCAATTTTAGCTAGACGATCACTTTTAGCTAGGATATTGGCTATTTATTAGTACTTCTAGAGCCGTCTAGCATCGTAGGTGTATATGAAACCATTCAGAGTGTAATAATAAATTGTCTTTTATCCTCCAAACTTTAGAATGACAGACAGCAGGTGTTCAAGTTCTTAATTTCAAAAGAAGGTCAATAGAGCCTCACACAGTTCGAACAAAGGCCTTCTGTTGCAAATCGATGCAGTTTTTGCAAAAAAAAAAATCATATTTAAAAACTGATAAAAGCATTTCTTTCACTTCCGCTGTCATATTTGTTTTCATGATAGAGCTGAGCGATTACTCCAACAAGGTTGATCATACCTTTGGCTGTCATGCACATTTAGTCAGGGAAGCACAGTGGTGTGTTCAATAGTAAATCTCCTCTGAAGGCCAGATGGCGCTCTAATGCAAAAACTTCAAACATGAAGAAACCCAGGAAATGGACATAGCATTGCATTATAAACAGAAGTTTTAACAGCTTTCACTGATTCAACATGACTAGTAACTGACTACAGAATCATTTCACTTCTTTCGAACACTCGACTGAAGTTATGAAGTGAATTGGGAGTAAAAGCATGTAATTTAATGTGCTTTTTTCCCACATGTAGCATGATAAAGCACATCGTCCAGTTGTATTTAAAAAATAATTATTACTGCCATATCCATAAACACCCAAATGTATTTTACATATCTGAAATGGTATGTTTTGCTAGTAATTGTGTGTTTTTGAATGGATGAAACCTAAAATAACGAAAAATGAAACCTCTTTCTGTGCCTCAGCATGAGTCGACAGATTTAAATTTAAACAGTTGATGACTTGCGCTCTGAATGTTCTAATCACACCAGTGTGATTGTACACATGAAAGGGTTAAATCAACCCTTTAACATCAAATGTGTTTTCCATACTAAATTGTTATTGAAATATCATATTACATATACATTTACTTTTGATTAATCTTAGAATAACAACTCTTTCTTTATCAGGAAACACCACAAGACATCAACCTAGTCAAGTTGCAGGACACAACAGCCACAGCGGTCCTGAAAGAGGACGGCTCTGTCTACTGCACCCCTGACATCATTTTTAAGGGTGATTCCTCTATTCTGAACCTAATTGTTCTTCAATATAGTTTCCCCTCTATTTGACATTTGTTGCTTGCATGTTTACAGGTTTAGAGTTGCCAGCTATCAACTACAAATTTAACAGTAAGAAGAACAGGTACTTCTATGGCACCAGGGTGGAGTGGTCACCATATCCAAACAAGGTGAACATCTCTAGATTTCTGGGCATTTACCTTTATTATAACATTGTTTTGGGTGCATGTTCTCCCCATGTTCTCCAGGTGCTCTGGTTTCCCCCACAGTTCACAGACATGCAGCATAGGTAAATTGGATTGACTAAATTGACCACAGTGCATGAGTGTGTGTGTGTTGCGGCTGGAAGGGCATCCGTTGTGTAAAACATATGCTAAATAAGTTGGCGGTTCATTCCACTGTGGCGACCCCTGATTAATAAGGGAACAAGTGGAAGGAAAATTAATAAATAACACTGTTTTGATGCCATTTAAGCTACAAGGGCGTGTTGACTTTTGAAATCTATTTAGCAATATTATCTTGTTGTACAGGTCGCAAAAGTGGATGTAGTTACCAGGACACATAAGATTTGGACAGAGGAGGAATGTTACCCATCTGAGCCAGTGTTTATAGCCTCCCCAGACGCCGTTGATGAAGATGACGGTACGTATTTTATCGAACTATTGTGCATCTGTATAAAATATTGTGTAATATGTATTTGCAAATGTAACATTCTGTAGTGCACTAAAGGGGACCTATGGTGCCGTTTTTTACAAGATGTAAAATAAGTCTCTGATGTCCCTATAGTGTTTACGTAAAGGTTCAGCTCAAAATACCTCACAAATGATGTTTAATAACTTTTTGCAACTGCCCCTTTTTAGGTTTTGATCCTAATTGTGCCATTTTTGTGACTGTTGCTTTAAATTTAAATAAGATTATGCTCTTTTCAAAAGAGGGTGGAGCTACAGATACATATGAGTCAGTATAGTGGCAGATTCAAAAACAAGACAAACCTCCTATGGTAATGAGAGAGAGATTGCTACTAATGGGCGGGGCTTTCCCCCTCTGATGACACGTTTAAAGGGGGAATGTAAAAGTGTGATTATAAAAAATAAAATTAATAGATTTTTACCATTAGAAGCTGGTTATATTCAGACTGTTGCCACACAACTGTGTTTAAACCCCTCATAAATGTGATTTTTGCAAAATAGTTGTCTTAAGTTAAGAAAATGTAAAACTTAAAGACTCAAAATCACCCCAGCGTGGATGAAAACATACCCAACAGTACATAAGGGTTAGCAAACTCTTGTAATTAAGCTGTCTTGAGCGATTTGTCTCCATTTTCAGGTGTCATTCTTTCTTCTGTGGTTTCATTCAATCCCCAAAGGCCACCTTTCCTGGTGGTCCTGGATGCTAAGTCCTTCAAAGAGATTGCTCGCGCTACCATCGATGCCAGTATTCATATGGACTTGCATGGCCTTTTCATCCATGACAAATCTACCTAAAAAGGACACGCACTTTATAATGATCTGACAACCCATTCTGAGTGGGATTAATTTATTTTTGTAAAGATATGTACAAGATATAAACAAAGGGAAATTTTCAGAATCGTATTTATTTCATGATTGTGATTTGTATTATAGATATTCTGTAAAACAGGGTATTGTTACAATTGAGTGGATTTTAAGTGATTGTATAAACAAAAACTTGCAAATTTATGTTTTTTTCTTGTAAATTAATATGGACAGAACTTTCTGCTGAATGAATTGTTGTAATTCTAATAATTGTACAGACAACCTGTAAAACAGGCTATTGCATACAATGTAAATGACTTCTACTCATTGAATTTAAAACTGTGAATCATTATGTTACTGTAATTCATGTGTGTGCCATTAAATGGAACGATTTCTTTAGTACCATTGTGGTTCGTTGCATCATTTGTTACTGTTTCTCGTAAAGTATTTTTACTTTATTTTCACTTTATTAGGTACACAACTTACTATTACCAGGTTGGACCTCCTTTTGTCTTCAGAATTGCTTAAATCCTACTTGGCATAGATTCTACAAGGTACTGGAAATATTCCTTAGAGATTTGGTGGCAGGCCCGGATTGGCTAATCGGGAGGACCGGGAGAATTCCCGGTGGGCCGGTCCGTTTTTTGGCCGTGAGGGCCGGTGTCCCTAGCTCCAGAATCTGTTGCTCTCTGCAGTCACACTGTTTAAATTTACTTATTTACTTGACCACAGCCTTTTTATTCATTACTTCACCGCAACTCTTCTCTTTTTATCTATTTTCTCGCAACCTAAGATGATAAAACTTCGTCACCGTTCTGATCACAGCTGTTGTGGTCCAGCGGTTAGCACGTTAAGTTAAGACACCGCGGACCTGGGTTTGAATCTCGGCACGGTGTTTTATTGTTTTCATTTTTATTGTTAAGACATATAATACTGTTAGGGTTGTTGAACATTTGAAGTTCTAAAGCAGCTGCTTTCTCAAAAAAAAAAAACACGTCATAGTGTCATTAGAAACTGATTTGGAAATGACCTTATTTTAATATAGTCAGTCATGAACTGAGGTGGGCCGGTCTGAGGCTTAAAACTCCAGGGCTGAAAAGGTGTCCCCACCCTGTTTGGTGGTCATAAGAGATAGGCATGGTCAGCAAAAATACGCTGTGGCATTGACACGATGCTCAATTGCTACTAATGGGCCCAAAGTGTGCCAAGAAAATATCCCCCACATTGATACAAGGCAGGATGGAGTCATGTTTTCAAGTTGTTGACGCAAAATTCTGACCCTACTGTACTATCTGAATGTTGCAGCAGAAATTGAGAATACTTTTTTTTTTTTATAGGCAACGTTTTTCCAATCTTCATTTGTCAAATTTTGGTGAGCCTGTGCGAACTGTAGCCTCAGTTTTCTGTCCCTAGTTGACAGGAGTGGCCCCCCGGTGTCAGTTTCCTGCTGCTGTAGCCCATCTGTCTCAAGGTTGGACGTGTTGTTTGTTCAGAGATGCTCTTCTGCATACCTCAATTGTAGCGAGTGGTTATTTGAGTTACTGTTGCCTTTCTATCAGATCGAACCAGTCTGGCCATTCTCCTCTGACCTCTGGCATCAACAAGGCATTTGCGCCTCACTGGATATTTCCTTTTTTTCGGACCATTCTCTGTAAAGCCTATAGATGGTTGTGGGTGTATATCCCAGTAGATCAGCAGTTTCTGAAATACTCAGACCGGCCCGTCTGGCACCAACAGCCATGCCACATTCAAAGTCATTTAAATCACCTTTCTTCCCCATTCTGATGCTCGGTTTGAACTGCAGCAGATCGTCTTGACCATGTCTACATGCCTAAATGTATTGAGTTGCTGCCTTGCGATTGACTGATTAGAAATTTGTGTTAACGAGCAGCTAAATGCCATATCTTGTAAAATAACTAGTAAAATATTATGGCAAAGGCAACAAATTATCTCTTGAGATACGATTAAAAAAAAAATTCTGTCTTTATTTACTCAAGTAAAACAAACCCATTTGAGTTTCTGTTGAACACAAAAAAGCTGGAAACACTTCTGTCTTACAGTATTTCTATATTTCTTATAAAATACGGATGTCCATGGCATTCAGCTTCTTTTTGTTCTTCTTTTAATGTATTCATTTAGGATCAACAACAACAAAAAAAGAAACCTGTAACAGCTTTGAACTACTTGAGATGGAGAAAATAGTGAAGTATAAATAACTATTTTTTTAAACCACAACCTCAGTAGATTGATGCGTTTTGCAATAAACCGAAACATGTTCAGTACATCATAGCAAACAATTTGAATGTGTGTGTGTGTGTATGTATATATATATATATATATATATATATATATATATATATATATATATATATATATATATATATATATATATAAAACACTTAAATGACATAAATACTAAATTGAACAGAATTTTACATATATATATATATATATATATATATATATATATATATATATATATATATATATATATATATATATATATATATATGTATATATGTGTGTATATATGTGTATGTATGCATATATATATATATATATATATATATATATATATATATTTTTTTTTGTAAATAAACATTAAGCAAGGCTATCTTTTTAAGGAAAACACTGACACCAAGTGACCAAACTTTAAGACTGACTGACTTAAGAGTCAAGCCTCAGTTCAATGTTTAATTCAGCTGATTTGCTTTGATCCTTTTTCCATTTGTGCTCACGTTAATGTACATTATATCACCATAACTTTACAGCATGTCGTGACATCTCAAACAGCCGTCAATTTCTTCAGATGCTGATAAACAGCGACTTTGAACTAATGCAGTGAGTAAAGTGCAGAAAGAGCAAGGTGCAGTTTTCATAACTATAATTAAATTAGTTTACTTCTTATCTCACATACGATAAGACTAAGCCACCGCAGTAAATAAGTAAGCATAAGAGACGTAATAGACGTAGATATAAGCGGTTTACTGTTTGTTACATATAGCTTAGGTTCATCTTTGAATGGGAATCTTTTTTTTACGGATATAAGATATAAGAGCCAAAATTAGGTAAAAGTGGTAGGCAAGTGTTTCTTTAGTAAGCCACATCTAATTTCAGTTTTCAAACATTAACACAAATGGTTTACTCAAATACTTGCATGTTTATTAGTTTAAATCTTCGATAAGGGTTGTGCTCTGCCATACTTTAAGGTGAGAAATAATTTAATTGAGTCATTTTAAGGTGATTTTATAATCAGCAAACAGCTGATGGCAGTAAACTGATAACCTTGGAGTATTAAATGGAGCCAGCAATGCAGTTTGTCTATGTATCAGCACGTCTGCCATAGAGTCCACAGTTAATCACAGCCCTGCTGATATAGATGGATATCACAAGGCTACAAGTGAGATATTGCATTTATACAACAGTTTTTATGACAAAAGAGCATGTAAATAGTTAAGGAACAACCACTTGTCCTGCAAACTATTGTTAAAGGTACTACTTTAATCTGACACAGATTCAAAGATGCAGTTTGACAGCTGAGCAAAGGCGTATGTTACCTATTCAAAAAGGCCACATTAGAACAAGCAACGGGGCTTCTGAGGTGAATTATTTAAAGTAACAGCTTACGAGGGCTACATAGGATATATGCGGAAGTATGCTAAAGGACTTTTAATTTGTCAGTAATCTAGGTTAAGCGCTTTCGGTGAACTGTATGTCATTAAAAATCATTTAAGGTCTTTTTTCTTTAAAAATCACCGATCTCTACTGGCTGAATGATATCCAGTATAAAGTGGGTCTCAGATTGTACAAGAAGCACTGCATTAAATTACATTTTCCCCCACCATGTCTTTAAAATATTAACTTTTTTTTTCTTCTACTCTAGCCTGCCGATTATGACGGGCGCCCGCAAGTAAACGGCTTTTTATCCGGTTTTACACTTGAGCAACAAAATGAATGCCAAAGTCTATTTAACTGATTGAATTGAAATTACAATACAACATGGATGCTGTAAAAGGAACCGTATAAAACGGAAAAAAGTCACATTAGACGCTTACCGGAAGTTTATCAGTATGGGAAGAAACTCTAGCCCGACGTATACCCTATAGACCAGGGGTGGCCAATGCTGTTCCTGGAGATCTACCTTCCTGCAGATTTCAGTTGCAACCCTTATCAAACACACCTGTCTGTAATCATCAAGTGGATATCAGGTCCTAATTAATTGGTTCAGGTGGGTTTGATCAGGGTAGGAGCTGAACTGTACAGGAAGGTAGATCTCCAGGGATAGGATTGAGCACCCCTGCTATAGACTGATTTCAAGTGGCCGCCATTTTTAAAAGGGAAATCGAGGCTGCAGTGGGAAGAAATCTGGAAGTATCGTTGGGAGTAACTTAGGAACGTTGTGTACCTGGCTGTATATCTTATCAGAGAAGAGAAAGTGACACAAATTTATCATTTCACCGCCTTCCGAATGACCCAAAGGTCCGTTCTGAATGAATGGTGAAAATAAAAAGAGATATCAGAGCTAATTTTCAGCTACGTTAAGGGAAAAGGCACTAGTTAGCTGACGTTTTTCTTACCCAAACACACGTTTTAGATGCCATTTATGAAACTCCAGTCCTCTTTCACTATATTAGACTTGTCACGATACTGCATAAACGAAAAACCGTCAATTTCCTGCTAATATTTAAGGCACTGTTGATGGCTTTCATAAAACAGCGCTGATTTTCCATTGTGTTCATGTGGGCAACAGAAATGCTTGTGATTGGCCGAGAAGGTCATCAGTTCACCCTCCGCTGTTTACTGAGTACTAACACAGACGAGAGATCTGTTTGATGACTCTACTGATCGTCACGGGTGCTTCGCGCTCCAGTCTTCGTGTTTGCACTGGGTGAAGAGCGGTAAACTGGGTGCAAACACAAATACACCGAGACTGGAGCACGAAGCAGCCATGAAGATCAGTCGAGTCATCCGCACTCAGCGGCGCTTAAATGTCAGTGGGACGGTTTTAAAACTTCAGTACCGGGACAACACTATTACAGACAACACGAGAGTGTGCTACAGAGGACTGCAGTGGTTGATCACTCGCCGGGTTACATAGGCTGAAGCAGGGAAGCGCCCCTACGGTGTTTACCTGCTGCCATGAACTAAAGCCTATAGAAGGACACTTGAGCATATTACTCTTAAAGAGATTGTGATGTTGTTTGATGCAAAATTGCATTTAATTGTTTAAATTAAACTTACTAAATGATATTAAAGTGATGTATACACCATTTCTGCATTTTGAAATCTCGGCAACAGCTGGAGGTTTGTAGTCCACAGCATGTTACTGCAAAGTTTACAGTGCTGGTCCTATACTTCTGGGTTTCTTCCCACCGCAGCCTCACTTTGGTTCTTTAAAATGG